AAGGTTCTCAATATAAAGTAGGGGTTTATCCTGATGACATGACTAGTCTAGTTAACTCTGTTCGCTCTCTTGAGGCTCTTTTTAAAGTGATTCAAATTTATGAGCAGGGATCTCGGGCCAAACTCAACGTTTCTAAGATGGAGGCCATGTGGTTGGAGGAGTGGTGCTCACGCACTGATCAACCATTTGGCCTCATGTGGGTCTCAAAAATGAAAATCTTGGCAGTGGTCTTCGGACAAAATACTGAATCTGACAATTGGCAGCCTAAACTTAAAAAGTTAGAAAATCATCTTAACTTATGGAAATCTCATTCTTTATCTCTAGTTGGTAAATCTTTAATTAATACGTTAGGTATTAGTAAATTGTTATATCTTGCTACTATTCTTTCTGTTCATAAATGGGTTGTTACTGAAGTTAATAACTTAATCTGGCCTTTCCTTTCGGGGTGCCGTATTGAAACTGTAAGTCAACAGTCATGTTATCAGTCCTTTCTAAGGGGGGGTTAGGTGTAGTCAATTTTAAGGTCAAAGTGGATGCCTTAAAGCTAGCATCTATTATCTCTAATTGTTCCAATGCCGATTGTCTTTTTATCTCATTAAGTATTTTTTCGGCGCCAAATTATCTTCTTTCCGATCGGAGTGGAGTTCTCTTTGGGATAACTCCTCCCCGAGTGCACAATTCTTAATGCCCTTTTATTCGAATTGTCTTTCTGTTTTAGACAGTCTTTGCAAGATTTTGTCTTTACCTCAAAGAAATGTTATTCTACTCTCCTTATGGAAAAATCGTCCTCGTCTGTCATTCATTGCTATTGGGTTTCTTTCTTATCTTTCAGTTTATATTTGGATCGGCATTGGTCTCTTGTGTGATGGTTTTTGTGAGAATTTTAAAAACAATATATTATGGCTCATTATTCTGCGAGCGATCAAAGTTGTGCTTTCATGAAGAACTGGGGTTACATTAACTCTGACCACTACGTGTCGTGCTTCTGAAAAGAAACAATTGACCATCGTTTCCTTAATTGTCCTCGCGTAAAGGCTGTTTGGTCGCACTTTATGCCTATTTTGTCTTCTCTTCTTCGTGTGACTTTTCTTCCTAATTGTCTTTTTGTTTTCCTTTTTCAATGGCCACGTGTGGATTCTAGAAATGCACGCTTGGCCAGGTTTGTTATTAAAACAGTTCTTTATGGAATTTGGAAATTTCGAAACAAATCTACTTTTCACAATGGAAACGAAGATTCCTGCACTATTATTCGCTATATTAAAACTGATATTCTTAAACGAACTTCTTTAGATCATTTTCGTCTGTCAAATTTGAATTTCACGTCCGCCTGGGAGTCTTCGCTTTGCTTTGTTTTTGACTCTTCTTACCGCACTTTCTTATAGTTTGACATATTCAAAATCTGTGTGCAGACTGCTTCAGTCGTTGCCTGTTCATAGGCTTCTTTGTTGGGGACTTTGCTTGGTTTCCTCAGGAGCCCCCTTAGGAGATTGTGTCGCAGGTTCGGCGCAGGAGCTATCTCCGGATTTGGTATATTGTATATAGTTAAACATCACATTATCCTAGACAAATTATCACCGTGAAATCACTTTAGCTTAATATATACGTAAATACAAAACGAACAACGAACACTTAATGAACATTCCCGAACATTTAATGACACCTACATTGATAAATAGCTATATGTGAGGGACCAAGCCCATGTGCCTTGCACTTTTTATAATGTACCTTAGCAGTTTATTGTGAATAAACTCATTTCAAAACTTAAAAATCTGTTCTTATCAGCTTAATACCTGATACACTGCTCATTGAGCAGCTCATATATTAAACTGATTTTTGGAACTGGGCTGTGGAAAAGAGGCTTGCCTCGTCCCAGCTACAGGTTGCCTCAGTATAGCACTACCTCCGAGTGTGGCCCACTTCCCCTCAGGGTAGAAACCTTCATTGAATCAAAGAAAGAAATCAAACAAAGCCTCCTCCTGACACTAATGTCTGGCATTTTTCTCTGGTCCACGTCAATCAACACTGGTGGTGAGTACAGTGGTGTGCTTTTCTTTACGTGACCTAGTCGCACCACACCATGCCCCTTAGCAGACTGCAGGCACAATTCGCAGATAGGGGTACTGTTCGCCTTATCGTCGATGACGAAATTCAAGAAATTGATGCCCTCAAGTTGGCTAAATCTGTGCCAGATTTCTCTGGTGATATTACACGCATCGTTCCCCTTTTCCGGGGTAAATGATATAACTCTGGCTTCTCCCGAAGCCACTGTGAAACTGGCCCAGGAGGGCCTAGACTACGAGAACATTCACAAACCGCTTCGCCTTTTAGGCTAGCGAAGTATACACGTGTCAGTCTTCGTGTCCATCGAGTTCCCCAATGAGGAGCTGCTAAATCTGCCCAGCACATACGGCGAATTGAAATCTTAAACTGTCCGTTGCCTTTATTTTACGGAAGAAGGCTACACTCATATCAAAAACGGCATCAGAGTTGTACAATTTAATAAAATCGAGTGCAATATGCCTAAATGCGTGGTCCTTGGCGGCGTAGAAATTGGGTTCAAGTATTCCAGTCCACTGGTGACGTGTCACCAATGCCAGTCCACGGACCACATGGTCAAAAACTGTCCAAAGAGGTGCCAAACTGGACCCCCCTCCCCAACAAGACCCTAGGACTGGGGGTGAACAACATGAGGGTATAGATGCTGCTACATCCCCTGACCTCTTTACCCAGTCAGAGCGACAATCTTACGCCTCTCCTGCTGCTGCGGGAACGCAAAACTAGCTTCATCAATGGGAAACTGAAGAGGAAACTCAGAAATGGTGCGCTTAACTTGAGCGGGAGGAAGAAGCCATCACAGTGCTGACGGCCAGTAGGGAGCACAAACGTGACATCCCTACCCTGTCACAGAGTGACGACAAGCAGCGAGGGCCCCATAAAAAATCAATGACTCCTGCAACTTCTACTGTGAATGAGAGCGAGCAAACGGGTAACGACTGCACTGGATCGGCCAGCCCTACTCCCCCTGAACAGATTGCATTGCTCCCCCGTCCGGCCTAGGTAACTTTATGTCGGCGATGGATAAAGTGGCAAGTCCAAGAACCCTCCTTATGAAAAAAGTGCCCGGTGATTTATTCTACCGATGTCAGGGATATTACCTGCACTGCAAGCATGGAGATTAAAGCACTGACAAAGGCAGGAAAATCGGTGCTAGAAACCCCAAGGAAAACACACCATGGGCTGCCCTCCAAGGCTCTGTCAAGGAGGACGCCTTTGCTGTGCTACTATGGAATTTCCTAGATATTCAGAAGAAACACGCGATCTTCATATCCGACTATTTTCTCTATCATTCACAATGTACATTTTTATTTTTTCCTCCTGATGGCAGTGTCAAACACCTTTTTGCTCTCCAAAACGAGGCAACATGTTAAAGACCTGTAATGACTCCATTACTACGATAGCGCTACAGACACAGGCAGAAAGCAATGGCTATGTTATCAACATTCACTTTCCACATGCATACAACTTGCAGAGAAGTCAAGAAATGCCTGCTAAAAGATTGCTGGTTGGTATTATTGCTTTGCTTTGGTGGCTTGTTTAAAAGACTAAATTTTCACCCCTTTCTCTTGTCTACGACCATACCACAGGGAAAGCACCGGTTCTCGTCCAATCACCAAAATTAAGCCCTGTCGGGTGGGGTTAGTACTTGGATGGGTGACTGCCTCTGATAGGTGGCGGTGTCCCTGTGAATGGTGGATGGTTAATGACTGATGCTTTGCTTTGTTCCTCAGTTGGCCGGGCCGGGCCGGACGACTGGGCACAGTGAACAAGGAGGGAACGTGTCAAGGAAGCCAAGGATTTCCAGCTCCAAAAGGCGAGTGCACTGAAACTCGTGTTGTCACGCATCCATATTGTACTAAACTGAAAAAGGTGGCTTGTGATCTGCAATTCTTGTTTAAGAATGGCTAGTCAGGAATCAAGCGTTGAGATAAGTCAGTTCACTAGTACAGCGGAAATGAGATTTCTACATGGGCGGATTAAGTAGATGAGTCTGAAAAGCGTGCTACACCTGTTGCGGTCCCAGAAGTATTACAAAACCTATCGAAGAAGGGTGTGGAATTTCAAGAAGTTCACTTTTGGGGCATACACGAAGATAAGCCAAAATTAGTTAGAAACCAATTGATTTACTTCTCAGTTGACACTGTTATCACGAGCCAAGTTATCCTCGAGGCTTTTGAGCAAGCTGGAACTGACATTGGCGAGATTATTGCAGTGCAAACGAAAGCGTCTAATAATAGCTGGGTTGTCACATTCGATTTGCCGGTGACCAAAGAAGCGGCGTTAGAAGTTGCCAGTATTGAAATAGAGTACATTGCCGTTTTCTTAGGCGACTGTGAACACAGCCTGGTTTTAGCTAAAATGTACGAGGCCCCGGAAGAGCTCCCTAATACGGCTTTAATCGGCTGTTTGACACATTATGGCCTTGTACTCAGCTTTTGCTGTGATCTGATTGCCAAAGGCATTTATAATGGGGTTCGAACGGCCCACATGGAATTACATCGCCACATTCCATTAATCATCAGTTTGGCCAGTGAAGTCGTGCGCATTTGGTACCCCAATCAGCCAAAAACCTGTTGTAATTGCGGTTCAAACGATCAACTTCAAAAATTCTTCATCAGCGCGTTGTCAAAACTGCAAGCAGCCAGGGCATCGCTCTGACGATTGTCCTGAAACCAATATGTGTGATGTTTGTAACGGTTTCGGTCATTCAATGGCTGATTGTCCTTATGATCTTTTCAGTGCCAATGTTGCTACTAAAGTCTAGCCGGTTTCTGAGCGGAAGAATGATGGAGAAGAATAGGACAGTGAGAAAGCAAATCGGGAGGCTTTGAAGGCCGAATGGGAGAGAAGGTAAGCAGAACATCGGAAGAAACAACAGAAGTCCCGGGAGGAGAGAAGTGAAAAAGGGGCGCGGCCAACATGGTGATGAAAAGGAAAGATCTCGTGAGTGGCCACACGTGAGTGATAAAGGATCTCGTGATGACAGGCCACGTGAGGAAAGACCACACGAAGATCGGCCACGCGATGAGCGAAGAGCACATACGGATAGGATGTCAGAGGATGAAGACCGAAGTGGCAGGTGACGTGATCGTGATGATGATAGGCGAAGAGAAAGAGAGCGGGAGGACCAACACCGAGATCGAGAATATGGTCGGAGAGATTATGCGCTGGATCATTCTTCGCGTCATGATCCATGCTATTCTGATGATGAGGATGGGGATTACAGATGGACTCTCGTATCTAGATGCCGGTATGATGATGATTAAGATTGATCAATAGGCTCACTATTATTTCATTAAATACAAGAGGCATCATTTCCCCTAGGAAACTGCCAAGTATAGTCCATGAATTGAACCTTTTGAACTGCGATATTGTTTTCCTGCAGGAGACTCATATCTCTCTCAGAAAGCAAGCTGGTTGTTTTGAGCGTCTTTAGTCTGGCCAGTGTTTCTGGTCTTTTGGTATCGGCAAGTCTGCTGGTGTTGCTATTCTTTTCCATTTCGGTTTTTCAGGTAAAATTCTTCAATTTTTGACTGACTCTGACGGCAGATTATTGAGCTTATTGATTGATCTTAATGGTTTTAAACTTAATCTTGTTAATATTTATGCTCCTAATGCAGTTTCAGATTGTCAAGTTTTTTTCTCTCATTTGCATGATTATTTTCTTTCGCAAGGTGACTTGGTTATCGGGGGAGATTTTAATTGTGTTGACAATGTTTTGGATCAATTGAATTGTTCTGTTGTTCCTTTGTCCGATCAAAAACTCTTTTGTTCTTTAGGTGCCGATTTCTCACTCACTGACATTTGCCATAAACTTAATCCATGTGGTATCGTTTTTACTTGGTCTAATAATCATCACATGCAAGCATCTAGAATTGATCATTTTCTTGTCGCTAATAGTTTAGTCTCAAAGACTAGTTGCGATATTTTGCCAGGTGTTTTATCTGATCATGATTTTGTTAAATTTGGATTTACAGTTAGTTCCTCTAAGCGTGGCTCTGCCGTTTGGAAGTTTAATAATTCTTTGCTTTCCGACATTGAATTTCGGAATGTTTTGTCTAAAGTGATTGCCGATTTGAAACTTAGAATCCCTGATTTCGCTTCCTTGCAAAAGTGGTGGGACAGCTTAAAAACTGAAATTCGCGCTAAAAATGCTTTGGATTTGAACCGTGATCCAAGCTTAATTAATGATGTGGAAAGTAGATTGTCCTCTCTCATCTTGAGGGAGGCCGAGGGCGCTAAAATTCGANGTCGCTAATAGTTTAGTCTCAAAGACTAGTTGCGATATTTTGCCAGGTGTTTTATCTGATCATGATTTTGTTAAATTTGGATTTACAGTTAGTTCCTCTAAGCGTGGCTCTGCCGTTTGGAAGTTTAATAATTCTTTGCTTTCCGACATTGAATTTCGGAATGTTTTGTCTAAAGTGATTGCCGATTTGAAACTTAGAATCCCTGATTTCGCTTCCTTGCGAAAGTGGTGGGACAGCTTAAAAACTGAAATTCACGCTAAAAATGCTTTGGATTTGAACCGTGATTCAAGCTTAATTAATGATGTGGAAAGTAGATTGTCCTCTCTCATCTTGAGGGAGGCCGAGGGCGCTAAAATTCGATCCCGTGCCCAATGGTTTCAAGGTGAGAAACCAACGCTATTTTTTTCGCCTTGAAAGGAAGCGGGCAGATGTCAACACTTTTGAATCTCTTTTTGATGTAAATGGCATTGTTAAAACGTCACCGAAAGATCTCAAAAATATTCTGTTTTTACAAAAACTTGTTTACTAAAGACTGAATATGCAAATTCAAACCAAAATAACTGACCATCTGGAACTTTCTCTGACTGATATTGAGCATGATTTGTGCGCAGGTGCTTTTTCTAAAGATGAATTGTTTACCGCTTTGAAAGACCTTCAGACTGGCAAATTGCCTGGGTCTGACGACCTTTCAATGGATTTTTATGTTTGTTTTTGGGACGATCTCACTGATTCTCTCCTTTCAGTTTTAAATGACTCCTTTCGTGCTGGCTGCCTTGCTGGTAGTCAGTATGAAGGTCTCTTACGCTTTATCCATAAAAAGGATGATCAGTGTCTTCCGAAAAATTGCACCCAATTTCTTTATTAAATACAGATTACAAACTTGCGTCTAAGGTTATTACCAAACGTTTGAAGAAA